ACTACAGGCATGTGCTACCATGCCTGGCTAATTTTTTTATGTATTTTTAGTTGTCCAGATAATTTCTTTTTATTTTTAGTAGAGATGGGGTCTTGCTCTTGCTCAGACTGGTGTCGAACTCCTGAGCTCAAACGATCCACCCGCCTCGGCCTCCCAGAGTGCTAGGATTACAGGCGTGAGCCACCATGCCTGGCCTCCATTTGGGTTTGTCTTATGTTTTGTCATGTTTAGACTGGGGTTATAGTTCTTGGGAAGAATATCACAGACATGAGGTGCTCTTCTCATTGCATCTTATTGGGGATACATGACATCATTTACATGACTGGTGATATTAACCTGATCATTTGGTTAAGGTGGTGTCTGCCAGGTTTTTCCACTGTAAAGTTATTTTTCTCTTTCAATATTCTGTTCTTTGGAACCAAGTCACTAGGTCTAGTTCACACTTAAGTAGAAAGGACTTAAGCTCCACCTTCTGGAGGGGTTAATATCTAGATAGGTTATTTGGAATTCTTCTGTAAGGTAGATTTGTCCCTTCTCCATTTGTTTATTCAGTCATTATTTAAATCAGTATGGATTCATAGATGCCTGTTTTATTCCTTGTGTTATGATTCAATACTATTATTTATTTTACTACTCAGAATGGCCTATATTATCCACCCCCACCTTTTTTTCTTATTGTAGTAAAATGTATATAACATAAAATTTACCATTTTAACCATTTTTAAGTGTAGAATTCAGTGGCATTAAGTACATTTACAATGTGTGTAACCATCAGCACTATTTCCAGATTTTTTCCATCATCCCAAACAGAAACACTGTACCCATTAAACAATAATTCTCAATTTCCCTCTCTCCCCAGCTCCTGGGAACCTCTATTTTACCTTCTATTTCTATAAATTTTCTCATCAGTTACCTCACATAAGTGAAATCATACAATATTTGTCCTTTTGAGTCTAGTTTATTTCACTTAGTGTAATGTTTTCAAGGTTCATCTGTGTTATAGCATGTGTCAGAATTTCTTTCCATTTTATGGCTAATATTTAATTGTATGTATGGAGATACATTTTTTTTATCTTCTCATCTGTTGATAGACCTTGGGTCTACTATGAATAATGCTGCTATGAACATTGGTGAGACATTAGTATACAGGTATCTGTTTGAGTCCCTGCATTCAGTTCTTTTGGATGTGTACCTAGGAGTGGAATTGCTGAGACATGATTCTGTATTTGACTTTTTGAGGCCCTGTCATATTGTTTTCCACAGCAGCTGCACCATTTTAAATTCCCACTGAAATACATGAGGGTTCCTATTTTTCCATATTCTTGACAACACTTGTCATTTTTCCATCTTTTTGATAATTGCCATCCTAGTGGATATGATGTAGTTTCTCACTTATTTAAAATTGTGGTAAAATATGCACCATAAAAATTACAATTTTAACAATTTTGGATATACAATTCAGGGGCATTAAATACATTCACATTATTGTGCCACCATCACCACTAGTTTCAAAACATTTTCATCTTCCCAAACTGAAACTCTGTACCCATAAAACAGTAGCTACCAGTTGTTTCTTATCCCAAGCCCCTAGCAACCACCATTCTACTTTCTGTCTTTATGACTCTGACTACTCTAAGTAGAATCACACAATATTTGTCCTTTTGTGACTAGCTTATTTTATTTAGCATAATGTTCATCCATATTGCTTGTAGCATGTTTCACAATTTCATTTCCTTTTAAGGCTGGATAATATTCCATTGTATATATGTAGTGGCATCATTCTACCTACACTTGTCTTTCTGGAACTCGCAATTACTAATATATGTGTTGCTAGACCTCAGAGTATCTTCTATGTCTCCTATCATCCCTTCTATATTTTCCCATCTTTTTCATTCTCAATGTTTCCTTCCTCTGACCTACCTTTAAGTTTACTAATTCTTCGCCTGTGTTTAAACTGCTCTTACCCTCATCCACTGACTTCATAATTTTGGCCAGCTTTAGGATTTCTGTTTGGTTCTTTCTAAATTCTGCTATGTCATCTTTTAGTTTCTAATTCTCTGCTGATATTTTCAAGGTTGATTTTTATTTCTTTAGCATAATATGTTTGATCTGTCTGACAATTCCAATACTTGAAGTATTTGTGGACATGTTCTTTGGGTGATGTGCTCACAGTGCTTTCTTCCTTTTGTGCCTGTTTACTTTAAAAATTTTTTTAAATTGAAGTATAAGATAGGTACAGAAAAGTATACTTATAATAAGTGTATGGCTTGTAGAATTTTCACAAACTGACCATACCCACGCAGTCAGAATTCAGATCAAGAATAGAATATTATCAGCTCAAGAAACCTTATATGCTCTTCCAACCACCCCTACCAACCTGCTCTCCTTCCCCACATAAAGGTAACTACTATCTTGACTTCGAGAGCATAGACGAAATTTTGCCTACTTTTTTACTTTATGTAAATCATACCAAATTTACTTTTTTTTTTTGAGACAAATTCTCACTATGTCGCCCAGGCTAGAGTGCCGTGGCGTCAGCCTAGCTCACAGCAACCTCAAACTCCTGGGCTCAAGTGATCCTCCTGCGTTAGCCTTCTAAGCAGCTGGGACTACAGGCGTGCACCACCACACCTGGCTAATTTTTTGTTTCCATTTTTAGTTGCCCTGCTAATTTTTTTCTAATTTAAGTACAGATGAGGGTCTCACTCTTGCTCAGACTGGTCTCAAACTCCTGAGCTTAAGCAATCCACCTACTTCAGCCTCCCAGAATGCTAGGATCATAGGCGAGAGCCACTGTGCCCAGCCAAAATTTACTTTTATGTCTGGCTTCTCTTCCTCAATGTTATGTTTTTGTGATTCATCCATAATATTGTTCTTAGCTGTAGACTCATTCCTTCTCCTTGCTGTGTAGTATCCCATTGTGCCTGGTTAGCTTTGATTATATACTGTACATGGTATTTAAAAAATCATTCATAGTAATATTTGAGGCCTAAGATAATGGTATCATCTTCCAGAGAGGACTTTATTACTCCCTGGTCCATGGGACTGGGGGAGTCCACTAGTAGGAGATTACCTTAATTAAAGTTTAAGGCTTGAACTTTGATGGACCACCCAAATGATGCAAAACTGAGCTATGTTTTGCCTTTACCACTACTTACTTTTATTTCTAGTTGGCTCTTACCTTGAAAGTATAGCCTTTAGGGTCCCAGCTTAAAGTGGGAATATTATCAGAGTCCCCATCTCTGAGGGACCCTGGGCTTTGACTGTCACCCTCCTCCCCTCTGTCAAAACCCAAAAGGTTGCCAGAAGAACAGCTTCTGGCCAAGCCAACAGGGCCAAAAAAAGGGCCAGTTGGTCTGAGTGCTGAGTACCAGTCAGGCCTTGCAGGAAGTACTGTAACTGCCTGTGGTTCTACCCTCCTGTGCAGGAAGGCATTGGATCAAGGAAGAGCAGGACAGATCCTGTTGTGGTCAGAGTGACTGCCTGGCCTGTGTCTCCAACCAAGCTAGGGCTCATCAGTCTGTTGTTCTGCTTTTCATTCCAGCCTAATTCAGTGGTTCGAGACAGCACCAAGTCGGACCTGTCCACAGTGCCGAATCCAGGTGAGGGTGCTGGGGTGGGATCACCTTAGCTGAAGACATCTTTTCTTTATTAGGGAGTAGGAATGTGGAAAGGTCTCTGAAGTTGAGAAATATCTCTGATCTTTTTGGACCCTCCTGATTTGAAGCCAGTTGGGCCTCACTTGTGCCGTTGAGTTACTTGGGAGGCCTACTTACACCCATGAAGAGCTGAAAGATGGACTTGTTGCCTAGGGCAGTTTTCACTTGGGTGGATTTGGCCTCCCTCAATGCCTTTTCCTCAGTGCCCCAGCACCTAGAGTTGGGTGTCTTTTGAACACTCACCATATGGGTCTGCAGTAACTCAACTTTAGCAACCACCAAACCAGAAGCCCCAGCTTAGGGTACCTGCAGGGGTGAAGAGGTCTTCCGACTCCAAAGGATGTGCTTTGAAAGGTTAGGCCTGAAAACAGGCCTGGCATGCATGTCAGGCAAGCAGTCAGACCCGTGTACAACCCTGTCCCCCTTGCCTGCGACCCAGCTCCACAGTCATACTTTATCTTGTTCTCCCATCCAGGTTGGCAAAAGAACCATCATCAATAAGCTTTTCTTTGATGTTGCCCAGGAGGAGGAGAATGTCTTGGATGCAGAATTCTTAAAGGTACCCAGAATTTATCTGATTCCACTTAAACCCAAGTCCTCTGGGAGTTTACTTTCTACTCCTACACAAGCAGGGTGGTTAGAATTTGGAGATGGGGGTGTGGAGGGGAGACTTGGTAGAGATTTCAAGGCAGGGGCAAGGAGAGCAGAGGACTAGTGATGAGACACAGTCATCAGAGAAATACACTGTAAGGGAAAAAGGGGGTTGCTTGACTGTGAACCCTCCCTTGAGATTTCAGGGCAATTCCAACCAAAGTGCAGAGTGCCTCTCTGGAGGTCCCCTCACCTTTCAGAGGACCTACAGTCATCCTACCTACTCCACTTTGTTGCTGGGACAGTTAGTGACAGATGAGAAAACTCTTTCACTCCCCAGCCAGGGAAGATTTGTGGACCCACTGTTCCCTAACCTGGCTATGCCTCAAAATTGCCTGAGGAGCTTGGTATAAAGTCAGATGCCTAGGCCTTCCCCAGACCAGGAATAAGGGCAGAGCCTCTGGAATAAAGATTTGCCCAGGTGGAAACCCACATTGCAGGGGAGTTCCCTCCCATACTTCTGCTTCCCTTCCAAATCTAAAATTTAGCTTTCTTTGTGCATGAGGAGGCTGGATTGGCAGAAAGCTCTTGAGGAAGTTGGATTGGGGTTCACAAATGATCCCTGGACTCTGAGAGTTAATTTTCTGGGCATCTGTCAGATCAGAGTTCATTTGGCCCTGGCCCTAGGGTATCATGACGTCCTTGGAACCTCAGCACTTCAAGAACAAGGAGCTTTTGTGCATAGAGCCAGCATGTTCATCGTCATGGTAACAACTCCCAGTTTTAAGTGGTGTCCTCCCTGTGATGAAAGCAACAAAGGCAGCTTCCTTTGTTGCTTTCCTTTTTTCTGTCTTTCAAAGCCAGATATGTGAGACAGGTAGGCAACATCTTGAGTAGTTTGGAGCAAGGGCTTGGAAGCCCCTGCTGGGGTGTGAAAGGAGCCAGGGGACTATGGGTAGTGATGCAGCAGCCTTGGGCTGGTGTCTGTTCTCAGGCAGCCCTTGCATGCCCTTCCTTACCCACCACTTCCATTCCCAGCTATTCAGCCTACACTAACCAGCCACACCACCAGAAGCTCCTGCCTCCAGAGTCCTGGTTAGAGTTTGACAGCAGAGGCCACCTGCTAGGCCTGGGCCTTAGTATTGGTCACTCATGAAATTCTGAGTCTTGTGTTCACCTTACAAGGGAGATCTAGAGTAAGGTTTGCCTGGATTCCATCGAGATACCACTGTGGACCCTTGGTCAAGTGTTTTAGTTCTGCAAAACCTTGGTTTTCCTGGTTATAGAGTAGAAACCTCTTTTGCCCATAGGGATGTTGAGTTCTCTAAGGCTCTTGAATGGGAGCTGGGTTCACTTCTGCCCCAGCCTCTCAGTGATTCTGTGACTGACTGAATCACCACTGACTGACTCTCAGTGGCTCTGGAACATATGCAAGGGCTTTGAGAGGCTCTCTTGACCCTCACAACAGTCTGGTTAAGAGCCTCACCCATGTGAGGTTTCATCCAGGGCTACAAAGCTGTCCTGGTTTACCCACCTCTATTGGATTCTGAGGCTGGAAGGTTTCTAGTACAGATACCGAGCCAGCTTAGAGCTTGGAAAAGAGGTAGACTGTGAAGCAGGCAGGATTCAGGGTGGAGGGAAGGAGTGGTGGCCCAAGGTCCTTGGCCATTCCTATTCTCTGTTCCTGGTAAGTGCAGCTGATGCCCAGAGAGAATGAGGCCAGCACAGAGAATGAGGCCAAGGAAGTGATGGAAGCCTCTGCTGTTGAAACTGATCACGTGGTCTCAACTTTACTTCCCTTGCCACTATTCTGTTCCTTTCTCTGTCCTGGGGCCTCGCTCCTGAGATTTTTTTTTTTTCTCCATCTTACCTGTTTTTCAAAAAGCCACATAAAATAAATGCTTATAAAGTAATGCTTATCTCTTCGTTGTTAGCTTAGCTTGGCCTTGAAATTCAGCAGGATCCATGCCTCCCTAGACCTACAGGCCTCATTATTCAATCCTGGGGCTCCCCACAGCCTTATGGGAGGCCATGTGGAGATCAGCTGTGATACTTTCCTGCTGCTTATTGTGGGTATTGCCTTACAGAATGAACTGGACAATATCAGAGCCCAGCTTTCTCAGAAAGGTAAGTTAGCAAGAGACAGGGGCCCTGGGAAGCCCCTGACTTAGATGCTAGAGGGAGGAGCCCTAGGAGGAAGGCATCTAACCCTTTGGCAGAGCCAGGAGCTCTTCCTGCTTTTTATGTCCAAGAGTCCTGCTAGCTCTCGGGACTGGCAGAAAAAGAGAGGAAAGGGAGGTGACTGAAGCTGTCCACCTAGACCAGGTGAGCCTCTTCTCTCTGTCTGCAGCTTCTTGCCCAGGACCCAGGCTGGGAGGGGGCCACCTAGTGGGACAGAGTGTCTTCAGGAGAGGGCTCAGCTGCTGAGTTTGGCTAGAACCTCCTTGAGTTCTGGGATGATGAACTAATTAGAACCATGGGAGGGTCAAACAGTAAAATCTTTTCCCAAGTAGTTCAAGCAGCAAAAATAGGGTTTGTGCCTGAATGAAGGCTCTGGCTTAGCTTCCCTTGTTTGGTGTATGCCAGAGAGGGAATTGGGCTATCTAACTTTCTGGCCTAAGCCTTGTTTCTTACCTGGCTCAGGGATGAGGTGCTAGTACCCAAGGGCCCAGGTTCTCATGCTAATGGATGGATGGACCTCTCTCTCCCCCACCCTTCACCCCTGTTCCAGAGAAGGAGAAACGGGATAGCCAGGCCATCATCGACACTCTGCGGGACACACTGGAAGAACGCAACGCCACTGTGGAATCTCTTCAGCAGGCTTTAGACAAGGCTGAGATGCTGTGCTCCACACTCAAAGTGGGTCCTCTGGTCTTGTGGGCACAGAGTTCGGGGGCAGATATAGCTCTTGTCCTCGGCTCAACATTCTGGGCTTATTTTCTGGTTCTGCCTCAGTCAATACCTTGGTTTGTGCAGTTGCGAAATGGAGGCAGATTACTTCTTCCCCAAGTCCTTCCATACTATACCCATCCAACCCATAAGAAAAGGGCCATATTGACTGTGCTTGTGGATTTTGTACTCAGTAGTTTGGAGAGACAAGGCCTTCCCAGCACTTCACAGAGGGGATGCTCAACTAAGACCTCAGTGAGGCTGGGCCATGTTTCCAAAAGTGGTTCATACTCCACTGGTGAGGCCAGCTTGAAGAACCTTCCATTAGCACTCCAGTCCTTGGCTGGGCTGCTCTCTGGAGCCAGATCAAACAGCATCCCAGGGAAGAGCAAGGGCCTTTGAAGTCGGCTGTGCTGAGCTGACCGGGCAGATCAAAGCCTGCAGAGCAAACAGCCCTAGACCCAGATGAATTTTGTATCAGCCTGGGTTGGTGAGCCTCTTGCTATCCAAGGGGCATGAGGCGATTGATCTGAACCCATGATTGATATTCTGGTCTTGTAGTCAGGAGCAATCCTTGCTGGATGTCATTCGAAAGGGAAAGAGAGCCATTCTTATGAACAGACAAGGCCCCAGGATATTTATTGTCTCTGTTTCTGCTTGGAGGCTGGGCCACATCACATGGCCTAACTAGTGGGAGGGAGCAAACTAGCACCTGGCTGCAGAACAGGAGTCTCTGATGGCATTCTCAGGTCAGAGATGGAGTGGTCTTATGCCGAGGGCAGCCTAGCCAGCTGACCCCGGCTCAGTTCTCCTATCTTGGCAACTGTTCACGGGTCTGGATGGTGGATGGTGAAGCCTGGGTTTGTGCTGTGGACTTCTTTAGTTACCTGCACAACATGTACCACAAGGCCCAGATCACTGAACTTTGGCAGCTCACAACAAGTCTGTAGATGCTGGTAGTGGGCTGTGCCTATGGTAAGACATCTCAGGAGTAAGCAGGCAGGGAGGTGAGGAAGCAGCTGGCCCAGAGCCTCTTAGCAGAAAAAGTACAAGCCAGAGTGGGGCCCAGTAACCTTACATCCTGGGGTTTGGGAACACATGGTTATCAGCATTTTCAAAAGATGAGGTACAGATAGTTATAGAGTGAAGTTTTCCCAGTGACTTTAGCTATGGCTTCTGGTATGTGCGTATTTGTTCTTCAGAAGCAAATGAAGTACTTGGAGCAGCAACAGGATGAGACCAAACAAGCCCGGGAGGAGGCCCGCCGACTCAGGAGCAAGATGAAGACCATGGAGCAGTGAGTTTGGAACTGACTTCTGCACTGCATCTTTGTACCTAGGGCCCCCAGGGGGTACAGCTCTTAGGACTGCAGCAGGGAGTGAGGTTGGGTCGCCTATGTGGTTCAAATCTCTGTAGGCCATGGAGGGCTGAGGCCAGCCAGATATGGATGGGCACAAGTCTTGCTTAGCTTCTGTGGACTCCCACTTACTATGGGGGGCCTTGCTATATTCCTCCCTATCTGTTGCTTATGGCCAGATGACCTGGCAGGTCTTTGCTTCCAGGATTCTCTCTCCGGGAAATCCCTGACCTTGAGGCCCTCTGTCAGCACCTTTTCTTTCTCACAGCATCCCTGGAGCTGTGCTTAGCTTTGCTATGGGGCTTTTCCTTGGGCACACCCACCTGCTAAAACATCCTAGCAGCCGAGACTGTTACCATAGCAACAGCAGCAAAGGAAGGCAGAACTGTACTGGGTGCCTACCCATCAGCCTCCAGATTTCAAATGCTGTGGGCCGGTATGTTTTTCAGGATTGAGCTCCTACTCCAGAGCCAGCGGCCTGAGGTGGAGGAGATGATCCGAAACATGGGTGTGGGACAGTCAGCGGTGGAGCAGCTGGCTGTGTACTGCGTGTCCCTCAAGAAGTATGTACTCTGGCCCCTCTCAACAAGCCCAGGAGCTAGGCCATGGGGCCCTAGCCATGCCACTGCTGCCCATCTCTTGTAAAGCAGATGGAGTCAAGGGGCAAGCTCTGGAACCATGCTGCTGCAGTTTGAACCGTGACTCTACCTCTCATCAGCTATATGGCCTGGGGCCAGTTTCTTGGCCTCTCTAACCCTCCTGCTTCCTGAGTGGAGATAGAAATAGACCTGCCTCACAGGGTTGTTAAGAGAATCGAGTGTGAATTTTAAGTGTTGTTTCCAAGGGAGTTGATATAGCCCTCTGAGCTAAGCCCCATCATGGTATCAGCACTATTACTGACCCTGCCTGGCTTGAATCAAACTTTGCTTGCATTCTTCTCTGTGGTGGGAGTGAGGTTGGCAGGAAGGGGGGCTGCTTGGCTGACAGGCACAGAGGGTCCAAGATGCCTCATGTAGGACCAGATGGTAAAGGGGGCCCCCTAGTGAGGCTGGAGCTTCCTGCACAACCTCTTAAGTCACCAGTGCCTATAGGACAGGCAGGGAACAGAGTCACCTCCATGCATTCTGTGCAGTCCCCTCCACAGCACCACCTGGCCCCTGTTGGACTCAGATATCAAAGTAGGAATGAGAATGAGCTGAGGGTTTGGGTGGTGCTTTGTGTTAGGTTGGTGCTGTGGCTCAGTCTGACCTATGGGGTGTTCTGTTCTGGCTTCTCTTTTAATGGCCACTTTGCAGAGAGTATGAGAATCTGAAAGAGGCACGGAAGGCCTCAGGGGAGCTGGCTGACAAGCTGAAGAAGGACTTGTTTTCCTCCAGAAGTAAGGTAACTTAGTGGGGAGCAGAGGGTGAAGGGAGAGGTGGCTTACCTTTCCCCATGCTCACTCAGGTCTCCTGAGCAAGGCGATGAGACCTGATGGCACAGCTGACTCCATGGGGCTGTCAGATGACTTACAGAGACTGATTACTGGTCCTTACTGGGCATTGTCTATGTGGCTTGTCTACTTGAGGTAGCAGATCATGGAGGTATTCCCTCCAACACATGCATACTCATATCCCCTCTGCTCTTCCTGGCTCCTGGGCAGGATGGAGAGCACAGCCCCCAAATGTGACAGCTTCAAAGGCCTGTTTTTGTACTAGGCCTGGAATAGGAGAGCTCCTAGGACTTGATTTGGTCAGCACAGCTGCTTTTACTTCTGCATGGTGCATCCATGGGCTGCAGGGTGTAGGAAGCAGCATTTGTAGCTCCAAATGGGTAGCTCCAGATGTGCTTTGCCGGACTGAAGCCTATCCTCAGAGAGTTGAGATCTCTTCCTATACCCCCAGTCTCTCTGGACTCTAGGCTACCTGGACCATGCACTGGGTAGCCAGGTGGGGACAGGGCACATGGTCACCACTTGGCTTTTCCTTTACTCCCTACACTTTCTTACAGTTGCAGACAGTCTACTCTGAGTTGGATCAGGCCAAGTTAGAGCTGAGGTCGGCCCTGAAGGACTTACAGAGTGCTGACAAGGAAATCACGGTGAGGGATATCCTTGGCCTGATTGAGAATGAAGGGATTGTATGCTCTCTGAGCAGGGCTGGGCTGTCTCTGCACAGGGGCCTGTGCACCAGTCAATGCTGGTGGTTCTGGGCTCCTTGCATCCTCCTGTGTCAGGGTATGCCCTTTGGCCCTGGTCTGGTCTAGAGCCTGGGTCTCCTCGGCAAAAAGCAGACAACACCATGTGTCTTCCTCACAGTCTGTCTGTACCTGCATCCTTGAGGTCCTTAGTCACCAGAGGAGGAGCTCTACCAGAGAAGGGTTCTAAAGCCTGGTGGGCTTGGCCTCCTGAGCCTGATGTTGGGGTTTCAGGCCTTGTTCTGTTCCCAATGGACCTGCCTTTCATGCATGCTGCTCATGTCCTCTACATTATCTCCGGACTCGATGCCTCAGCCTTTGTCTCACACTCTTCTCTTTCTTTCCCCAAGAGCCTGAAAAAGAAGCTAAAAATGTTGCAGGAAACCTTGATCTTGCCACCGGTGACCAGTGACACTGTCAACCGCCTGGTTTTAGAGAGGTTTGTTGACACTCTGGCGTGGTGCAGGGGTCACAAGCTGGGAGAGCTCCCTCGTTAGGGTCTTTACTCCTTCTGGCTTTGGTGGAGTCGGTGGCCTTCATTGACCTGAAGTCTGTGGACCTCGTGCCCCAGGAGCCAGCCAAGGTTTAGTTGGAAAGCAGCTTTGAGGCAAATTCTGGGCTCTGACAAGGCGAGGCCAAAGAAGGCCAGAAAGGACCTAGGGGCGATCTGAGAATGGGGCAGGAACACTACCTATCTTGGGGCATTCTGTTTATGGAGTGGCTCACCACATGCATCTGTCTGCCCCAAATTCTGAAACAAATATGAAACCACTCTAAAATATTAATAATTCCCTTGGTCCCAGGAATGTGTACTTTAAAGCTGCCAGCAGAGGGAGCCAAGAGGAAGAGGAATTTGTATACCTGTAGGAGTGGGCATCCATTTCTGCTCCTGCATGTTTCACAGAAACAGACTAGATTAGAGCATCCTCAAGGCTAACTCCTGCCTGCAAGGGACCCTGGCAAGTTCCCAGACAGAAAACACACAACTCCTGTCAATGACCCAGTGTTTTCTTTTTTAATCTTTTTCTTTTTCTTTTGTAAGAGACAGGGTCTCGCTCTGTTGCCCAGGCTAGAGTGCTTTGGCCCAGTCACATCTCACTGCAGCCTAAACTCCTGGGCTCAAATAATCCTCCCACCAAAGGCTCCTGAGTAGCTAGAACTATAGGCCCATGCCACCATGCCCAGCTAATTTTTAATTTTTTTGTAAAGTTGGCATCTTGTTATGTTGCTCAGGCTGATCTCAGACTCCTGGCCTCAAGCAATCCTCCTGCCTCAGCCTCTCAAAGTGCTGGGATTACAGGCATGAGCCACCACACACACCCAGCCCTTCTTTTAACTAGGCACAGTCTGTTCTAAATTCAGGGCTGCAAGCACATTTTCTCAGAACCTCTTGAAAACATTTGCTTCTGGCTGTTGGTCACACACACTCATCTCAGAATAAACATCTTTAAATTATTAATATAATGAACAAACAAAAAAAATTGTCGACTCCTCAGTGGCAGCTTTGCTATGTTGTCTTTGTACTCTGATGGCAAGGGCCTTAAAACTTCAAATGACCTGAAAGACCCTGCCTCTGCCTTTCTTCTGTGACAGCTGATATGTTGCTGCATAGGTCAGAAAGAAGTCTTGTTTTCCTGATATATTGCAATTTTTAGGCACATTCCTTCAACCAGCACTCAGATCTGAAGGAAGAGCAGTCTAGGCAGAGAGGATGGCAAGTGTAAAGCCCCGAGGCCTGACTGAGCTGAGTATCCTTGGAGGAGAAGGGCTGGCGGCAGGTGGACCAAACCTCTACGGGATTATGTAGACCAACGTTATAGTACAGATTTTATCCCAAGGACAGTGGAAACTGTTGGGGATGCCTGAGGAACATCACTCTGGTGGGATGAGCACATGCCTCTGATTTTTATCCCATCACCCACTGATGATTCCTTGAACCTGTACTCCAGCCCAGGGGGTACCAAATCACCAGCTTGATGTCTACCCTCTTAGACTTCTGCTTCACTACAAATGAAGACCCCATAAGACCACAGTGTTGAGGTAATTTAGGGGGGTTTAATTTTAGGTATTTCTTGATACTTTGATGATTCTCTAATTTTTAAAATGTAACTACTTGGAATGCATTGGAGATGGATTCAGATCAGTTCAGAGAAATCCATGTGGCATCCAGGAGGAATTTTTAAGAAATTTTTAAATTAAGAAATTTAACCAGTCTGAGCAAGAGCAAGACCCAGTCTCTACTAAAAATAGAAAAAATTAGCTGGGCGTGGTGGTGCGTGCCTGTGTTCCCAGCTACTCGGGAAGCTGAGGCAGGAAGATCACCTGAATCCAGGAGTTTGAGGTTGCAACAAGCTATGATCATGCCACTGCACTCTAGCTCAGGTGACAGAGCAAGACCCTGTCTCAGGAAAAAAAAATTTAATCAAGAAATCTCTTAACTTTTTACTTCAGCAGTATTTCTTTTTCTCTCTCTCTTTTTTTAATAGATCTTACTCTGTCACCCCAAATAGAGTTCAGTGGCATCATCATAGCTCACTGCAACCTCAAACTCCTGGATTCAGGTGATTTTCCTGCCTCAGCCTCCTGAGTAGCTGGCATTACAGGCACATGCCTAATTTTTCTATTTTGAGTAAAGACAGAGCCTCGCTCTTGCTCAGGTTGGTCTCGAACTCCTGACCTCAAGTGATCCTCCTGCCTCGGCCTCCCAGAGTGCTAGGATTATAGGCGTGAGCCACTGCTCCCAGCCTTCAGCAATATTTTTTATTGTGGTAAAATATACATAACATAAAATTCACCATTGTAACCATTTTCAAATACAATTCTGGCATTAAGTACATTCACATTGCTGTACAACCATCACCACTGTCCATCTCCAGGACTTTTTATCTTCTAAAACCAAAACTCTACCCATTAAACAATAGCTCCCCATTCTCCTCTCTCCCCAATCCGTGCAACTACCATCTACTTTCTGTCCCTATAACCTTGACTACTCTAGGATTCTCATAGAAGTGGAACCATATAATATTTGTCCTTTTGTAATTGACTTATTTCACTTAGCATAATGTTTTCAAGGTTCATCTATGTTGGAGCATTTGTCAGAATTTCTTTCCTTTTTAAGACTGAATCAGCAATCATATTTTAAATTTGCAAGTGTTCTTTCTTGCTCTGTGAGTACACTTTTTGGAAAACATACTGTTCTTGTTTTAAGGTCTCACATTTCTGCTTGTCTCAGAGTCAATATTTGTACATCAGGGCCTTTCTCTTGGGCTCCCCTCCCATGCCTGGTGGTCCTTTGCTGCTTGGGAGTGCAACCTATATGGGTAGGGTTTGCAAGAAGTGTGCAGTGAGCTGGCATCATGCTGGAAACTCTTACCTGAGCCCAGAATGCAGAAGGCTTTACTGTCAGCTCCAATATTGGCTGCCCTAGGTCACTGTACATGGTTTGATTGGTGTGTTTGGGAAAATCTCTTCCATTTCTTAGCTCAGGGTAGCTCAGCCTGATTGGGAGACATGATTGAGCTGAATACCTTTAGAACCCTAGCTGCCTCAAGGCAGGGAGTATAAAACCTTTTCCTAGGATATCACTGAAGGCTGCTATCTGTGCCTGAGTTTTCAGGGCTGCTTAATGCTTCTGTAAGGTCCTTCCTTGCATTTGCAGCTCCCTCCTGTGGGTTCTGGCTGCTGTTTCAGTCTCCCATCTCCTAGTCATGCTCTCTCCCCCAGAATTTTGTGGAAATCTCTGGGAACTGATGGTGGTTACCCTTTCCATTTTGTTGCAGTAGTATTACCTTTCACACCTGTCATTTTAGGGAGGACTTAGCCACCACCCCTAAGGGCCCCTGACCTCTGGGCTGGAGGGAGTTGGGGAGGCCATTGCTTAGGATAAGGCTACCAGGGATCCGTGAGTTCATATAGGAGATGCTGGCTGGGCACGGTGGCTCACAGCTGTAATCAGCACTTTGGGAGGCTGAGGCAGGAGGATCACTTGAGGCCAGGAGTTCTAGACCAGCTTGAGCAAAATAGCGATACCCACATATATGAAAAAATAAAAAGAGGAGACATTGACTGAGCCCCTGCTACACAGGTAATGAGTCTGCCCACGGCCTTTCCTCTGTTTTAGTAAGGGGAACTTTGAGTGTCTTGCCTTACTTCCTGAGACCTCTGGCATGAAGCCTTGTAAATTGGCCATAGGTAGGTGTCCCAAGGGTGATAGTATCCCTCAGGAGGGCTGCAATCTAGGCCCCCAGCCAGTAAAAGAGGCCACTGAGCCCTGGGTTCTTCCTTGTAGGATAGACAGAAGGTGAGAAGGAAAGAAAGTGGACCCCTGGCAATAAGGGAAACAGGCTTCAAGCTCACAAAGGAAGAAGATGATACTGGGAACAGTTGGAGAGAACAAGAAATGTGTCCATATGAATCAGATGTGGGTGTGAGGGCTGAGGGAGGCACTGTGAGAACCTCTTGAGTTTTGAGTTTAGTGTTGTGGATGGCCAAGAGGTGCAGGTGAAGAAGACTGGCTTGGCTTGAGCCAAGGTTGAGCATGTGTCTTGGGCAGCACTGGGCAAGGCCTGAGGGGATGGTAGTGAGAAGTCCTTCCTTGAGCCACCTGGAGGGTAAAATGGGTGTACTCAGCTAGACCCTGCCTGCCTCTTGAGTTCCTAACCTTTCTTAACCTGAGTCTGGACTTGCTAGGGTTGATAAATGGATACTGCAAAAAAGTTGGCATAAGCAATCCTTGGCTGCTGCTTTATGCTGTGGTTCTCAGAAGAGGAAGAAAAGCAACCAACTTGGAGTTGGTTTGAAGTGTGTTTGTGCAGCCTTCATTTCTACTTGCGAGCCAGTAAGAAAGTAGAGCTGCCAGGGGCCTGGCCAGGGAAAGGCAGAAATAGTCCAGGCTTTCTGGGTTGCTTACCCACCCATATCAGTGCAGGCAGCTCCCTTCTAATCTGTCTCCTCTTTCTATTTTTCATTTTTTCGTAGATATGGGTTTTGCTATTTTGCCCAGGCTGGTCTAGAACTATGTTTGCTCTCCAGAAACACTACTTTAATGCCTATATCATATTCAATTTATGGACGTGCTAGCCCCCTAGGAGAGTTATTTTGATGGTTTCTAATATGGTACCATTTGCTGTGATAAGTAGCAACATCACAGGGGGAGGGACAGAGAACTTCCCTCTACATCAGCCTGTAGTGACATCTCTGACTGGCTTCTTGCATTGCATTCTGAGAAACGAGGCTACATGGTCAAAGGCAGCAGTCTTTTGTTTATACATTGGTTTTTGTCTGGGTTTTCGCTTGCTTCCTTCCTTGTCTTCCAGACTTTCACTGGTCCCATGATTATGTAAAGGACTGAGCCAAATGATTTATTCTGTAGAGATTAGGACTTTCTTAGTGAGTGGCCGTCAGTCAGGAATGGGCTACAGAACACGGGAGCTGAGTTATCTCTGATGCTTGAGAGGCTATCATCCTTCTGGTCAGCAACTGTGGTCCCAAGTAACCAGGCCATCTCTGCCTTCAGCCCAGCTCCTGTGGAGATGCTGAACCCGAAGCTGCACCCACCATCCTTCAGTGATGAGATTGATCTCAATGCTACCTTTGATGTGGAGACCCCCCCTGCCCGGCCCTCCAGCTCCCAGCATGGCCACTCCAAGAAGCTCCACCTGGAGAAATCACAGTGAGTGGTAGTCCATAGCACTGTCAATGGCCTGGTAGGGGGATGGCTAAGACAGCTCTGTAGGCCTTGCACTAAAAGCTCTGAGTGGCTGATGGGGCAGTGAGGGCTGCCTAGGCTTGGCTGTGGCTTTGGTTCTAGCCACCTCTTCTTCCCTCTCCAGACCACTCAGTCTGTGCGAAACCCTTCTCTTATCTCATTAATCCTCACCATTACCCTTCAAAGCAAAGGTATTAGAATGTGAGTTAGAGAGAATGCAGGGGTTTGGACTGGTGATGTTGAGGAGGCTGTTCTCAATACCTTGAATGCCTGCCTACCAGAGTCCTGCGCCAGGGACTCTGAACTTCCTCTTCCCTTCTGTGCCCCTAAGTCCCATGCTTGTGGTAGGACCATCTCAAACCATAGATCCCAGGGCTCTACCACCCAAGGGCGTAGCCCACAGGGGCAGCCATGAGGAGCTATCTAGAGTTACAGTGGGGCAAGTGGGACCTGCACTAGAGGCACAGTAGAACTGGGAAAAGGGAAACTGTCTCCTTGGCCAGGCCCGCCAAGTTGATTCACTGTGGAGACAAGGACTACACTCAATTGTACATGTAGGTATATGCTACTCAGGTAAAGGGAGGTCAGGGGCTGAGCAGGTTTCCTCCTAATTAAAGACTTTGGATAGGAGAGAAAGAAATTGAGATGTTAGACAGTGGAGGTGGAAAAGGGCAAGAGAACAAGCCAGCTGGGCTATCCACCCTCCCAAACCCATACAGTACAGGGCCAGGCCTAGTAGCACTGAGAGACAAACTTAGGGCCTATGGGCTGTAGTCAGGGAGCCTATCAGTGCCTGTTCCAGACTCTGGCTTCCTCATCTTGCCTCTTCTTCACCTGTGTAGTTTGAAGGTGGGCACCTGGGGTTTTCATGATGCTAGGCCTTTTAGAGACACTTCCACCATCTCAAGGGCCTACTGGGAGAGCAAGGGAGCCCAAGATGCCCTTAACTCAGCTCCACCTCCCCAGAGCCAGACTCACAGCAAATGGAGAGTCTTTCCATGGTCATCATATGGCCTCTCCACAGGCTGTGGTGTAGGAACAGAGGAGTTCAGAGTCAGCAGGCCCTGATCCTACTATTGTCCTCATGGCTTGGGGAGCCATAGAGTCAGCCCTCGATCCCCATCCTTCCACCCACCCGGGAAAATACCAGGAGAGGATATCCAGCTGCTAGGGTCCCCAGGAATTGGATGGAAACACAATGTCCAGCTCTGGGGATGGGAGTAGGAGGCCAGGGCGTAGGGCCATGCTCTATTCTACCCCAGACCCTACCTGCACGATTCTCTAGGAAGATGGCCTGGCCCTGTGTTCTGAGAGTACTTTGTGGACTACCTTACTGGGAGGCTAATTTACCGAGGGTCTCGTGGAGGTAGTGCCCCCTCTCTGGGCAGATAGGACTAGGCCTGAGCTCATTAGATGCCTTCTGCTTCCATCAGGGCATGACTGGTTTTCTTCCTGTGGGTGGTGAATCGATTGGGCTCCCCAGCCCCATGTAGAGCCTGGGACATGGTGAGGTGCCCAAGGACTTGGATAACATTGGAATTTGGCCCTGAGTGGAAACCATAAGATTTGGACATGGTCCAGTCTTCCCTGTCTCCACCACCCTGCTGTCTGTGGCTGTCTAGCTGTTCACGGAACTGCACTTGGGGTGGGGATCACTGAAGTGCCTGCCTAGAACATAGGCGCATCAGCAGCCATGCCACGTGGACTCCCCAGGGGTTGTGTGCTGAGCGTGGCTCACGTACTCCTCACATCTTGCTTACCTACTCCTTGTCCTCATGTTTCATTCTTGTAGCTCTCCTGTTCAGAACATCCCCAAGAAGATACCCAAATGTTCCAAACAGGTAAGGACTTCCCAGGTAAGAAGCTCAGGTAGTCACCATCTAACCCTTGCCAGGACTGGGCTTGAAGATGGACTTCTGGGAGGTTCGAATCTTGCCAGAGCCCTCTCACTCTTGGGCCAGAACCGAGATACCTCGGGGCCACCCTTGGGACTCCATTCATTATCTTTCCTGCCTCCTAGTGAGGCATCAGAGATTCCGATCTTGTCCCACCACCACTACCTTCCCTCCTTTGCTGTTACCTGGCTCATCAAGTCTGGCTCTGGGATCTCCCTTGTAGGAGTCCCAGCTCTCACTGGGTGGCCAGCGCTGTGCAGGAGAGCCAGATGAGGAACTGGTTGGTGCCTTCCCCGTTTTCATCCGGAATGCCATGCTGGGCCAGAAACAGCCCAAGAGGACCAGAGCAGAGTCCTGTCGCAGCAAAGATGTGGTGAGTATAACTTCCCACAGTGGCAAGTGCCACCCCTTTCAGGGGTGGTGCTGGGTAGCTGTCCCCCTAGCCCATCAGCCTGGCCCACTCATCTCTTCCTTCTGTCCTAGGTAAGGACAGGCTTCGATGGGCTTGGAGGCCGGACAAAATTCATCCAGCCTGTATCCTTATTCTGTTGTAGTGGGCTGACTGGAGCTGTGGAGCCCATACCATGCCTCACCTGTACCCCTAGACCTCAGCCTGCCAGTGCCAGCAGCCTCAGGTGTGCAGAGCCAGCCCTTGCTGAGTGTAGCAGGGCTGCCCACCCCACTTGGCTCAGCTGTAAGCCTTTCCTGCCCTGCATTCCAGTCTGTTCTCCAAGCCTTTTCCTTGACATCTCCTTCAGACTGACACAGCTATGATCCGCCCACTGCCCATTAAGCCCAAGGCCAAGGCTAGGCAGAGAGTAGGAGTGAAGACAGTACACTCTCCCTCCCAAGCCAAGCTGGACACCTTCCTGTGGTAGTGAGAACAGTGAGTCTGAGCAGTGGCCAGACTCATGCCAAGGACTGGCCAGGCAGGGCATTTTTAGGGGATAGTTCCTTCTCCAGGACCAGTCCTAGGAGCAAGGGCAAACAAGCAGGTGAGGGTGAGAGTGATGCCCAGAAACTGTGCTCTTCCTGTCCTCACCCTGTCCCCATCTCTGCCATACCGGACCTACCTTTGGGGGCTGACATGACCAGCTCATTATTCCTAACAATAGGGCCTGCTCCTGGTTCTAGGCTCCTGTTTATAGCCATGATCAGATGTGGTTGGGCTCCTTCTGGTTCTGGAGACCAGGGTCACTTGTTAACTATCTCTATGGACCAAAGTGCTTGAGGCTTCTTAGGTAGCCTCAGCCTGAGCTTCTGCCTGCCTCTGACTTGCAGCTCGATATGGCCTGAACCAAGCAGGTTGGGAACTGGGGGATGGTGGTGCAGAAGGGATTGGGGGAAAATTTTCATGTGAAATAAAAAAAAATAGAATCTCTTCTTCCTGGTTCTGAGAGTGTAAATTTGCACCAACACTTTGGAAAACTGTTTGGCATGACTTTTTAAAAGGCAAAAGATTTATACAATCTGAAGAGAAACTAGAGTATGTGGCATGACTTTTTAAAGCAGGAACATTAACTAGCTGCAGACCTAGCAGATCCATCCCCAGGCATGTGCCCTCTCGTAGGGCACAGGGAGATTCTAGCAAGAATGAGATAACTGCAGCTTTTTCCACAGTCTCTAACCTGGGCACAGCCCAAAGGTCATAAACAGGAAAGTGAATGGGTAAACCAACATCTGTTGATACAGAGAACTCAAACAGCAATCAACAAATAACCAGTGACCACTACTTTCCCTTTCTCCCCACCTCTAAATGCTACCAGCCAAATTGCTAGTCTTTGGGTCTTGGCTGCAGCGGCACTTTGTCCCAGAGTACTTCCTTTCTTGACCTCTAGCCTGTGTGAACACCCCTAACTTCTCACACCCTCTATTGAATGGGAGTTCATGTTTCCCCAGGGCCCAGCATGGGCCTGGCACAGGGAGTGAATGAATACTTCAGGCTGAGGGTGTCCAGCTGCTCTTCAGCCAATCTAGAGGAGTATGGGGCTTCGTGGAAAGGAGGTGATGCTCTTGGTTATGGGTGTTGGCCCCTGTGGTGCTGACTTGAACCAGGGAGATTTAGTGAGGAGAAGTTCAACATCAGGTTAAGAGTGTAGGGACTGGCTGCTAGCACCCTTCTTACCAGCTAAGTGGTCTTAGGTTAATTATCTTGCCTCTCTGTACTTAGTTTTTTTGCCTGTAAAGTAGGGACGAAAACACCAATTCCCTCCCAATTGCGGTGAATCTAATGAATCAACATACAGGTTAAGAACTTGACAGCTAAGTGAAATAAGCCAGACACAGAAACACCTATTGTATTGATTCCGCTTATATGAGGTCTCTAGAATGAGCAAGTTCATCGAGACAGAAATAGAGGTTACCAGGAGTTAAAAGGAGGGGGAAATGAGTTACTGCTTTATGGTCACAGAGTTTCTGTCTAGGGTGATGAAAAAGTTTTGGAAATAGATAGGGATGATGGTTACCAAAAAAAGAACTAATGACAGACCTAAATATGTAGAAAGACATCCTGTGTTCATGGATTGGAGGACTTAATATTGTTAAGATAGCAACATTTCCAAAGGGAATCTACAGATTCAATATAATCCCTATCAAAATTCCAATGGCCTTTTGAAGAAATGGAAAAGCTGATCCTCAAATTCATACGGAATTGCAAGAGGCTCCGAATAGCCAAAACAATTTTTAAATAGTGAAGAAAAGAAAAAGTTATTCCCAATTTAAAAACTTACTACAGCCAGGCGTGGTGGCTCATGCCTGTAATCCTAGCACTCTGGGAGGCCGAGGCCAGAGGATCGCTTAAGGTCAGGAGTTCGAGACCAGCCTGAGCAAGAGCAAGACCCCCGTCTCTACTAAAAATAGAAAAAAAATTAGCCAGTCAACTAAAAATAGAAACAAAAAATTAGCCGGGCGTGGTGGCTTGTGCCTGTAGTCCCAGCTACTCAGGTGGCTGAGGCAGGAGGATCCCTTGAGCCCAGGAGTTTGAGGTTGCTGTGAGCTAGGCTGATGCCACAGCACTCCCTCTAGCCCGGGCAACAAAGTGAGACTCTGTCTCAAAAAAAAAAAAACTTAACTACAAAGCTGCAGTTATCAAAACTGTGGAGTGAAGTCATGCATAATGGTGTAGTCAGAAGCTCTAGAGGTTGGTCACTAGATCAAAGCAACCATTGAGCTGGAAAGAGCAGTGATTGTAATCAACTGTTTCAAAACTCTGGAACCTGATCAGACATTTAACATCAAGGAGGTTGCTACATGAAGACAGAGGCTGCTATTCCTTGGTAAGAGAATGGTGATTCCAGCAGCCACTGTTCCCATTCCTCAGCCCCATCAGGGTTGCCAGGATAGCAGCTCCAATTCCAAAAGCAGCTGACTGGTGCCAGGGCAGACAGTGGGGATCCTGCCCTTCAAAAATTTGGGATTGTGCACTTTGGTGGGTCTGGAGGTACCCTGAGATGCTTGCCTTGGTTTCAGCACTCTTGGATGCAGTTCCTGTACTGCCCTCCCCAACCTACTCCCACAGTCCCCATCCCTAACCTTGGCATCTTTCAGAAGATTTAAAGGGCCCATGCATTTTTTTTTTAAAGCCGGAAAGTCTTTGTCAGGTCACTCGCTAGCTGACTGCAGAGATAACAGAAATTTCTGTGACAACACACAAGGAACACATACTTTGCAAAAAGTAGTTTGGAAAAATAACAAATAGGTGGCTCTAGCCCTCAACAAGCAAAATTTAGCAATTCCTGAGGAATGGGAGAATATTTCCAGAGTTACCACAATAATATACTCAGAATATTCAGTTGGCAACAAAAAATTATAAAGCATATGGAGAAACAGGCAAGTATGGCCCATTCACAGGAAAAAAGGAATTTGAAGCCGGGCATGGTGGCTCACGCCTGTAATCCCAGCACTCTAGAGGCAGAGGTGGGAGGATCGCTTGAGGTCAGGAGTTTGAGATCAGCCTGAGCGAGAGTAAGACCCCATCTCTACAAAAAATAGAAAAATTAGCCAGGAGTGGTAGCACGTGCCTGTAGTCTCTGGTACTTGGGAGTCTGAGGCAGGAGGATTGCTTGAGCCCAGGAGTTTGAGGTTGCAGCGAGCTATGATGACGCCACTACACTCTAGCCAGGGTGATAGACCAAGACTTTGTCTCAAAAAAAAAAAAAAAGAATTTGACAGAAATAATCCCTGACAAACTCTGAAGCTAAAAGGTATAATACCTGAAATGAAAAATTCATTAGAGTCACAAAAGTCAATTGCTTTATTTCTTTTTAAATTTTCCTTTTAAGACAAGCTCTCGCTCTATTATTACCCAGGCTGGAGTGCAGTGGCATGATCACAGCTCACTACAACCTTGAGCTGGGTTCAAGCAATCCTCCTGCCTCAGCCTCCAAGTAGCTGGGACTATGGGTGCACCCACCACACCTGGCTACTTTTTTCTTTTTCTTAGAGACAGGGCCTCACTATGTTGTCCAAGCTGGTGTTGAACTCATAGCCTTAAGTGATCTTCCCTCCTTGGACTCCAAAAGTGCTAGGATTACAGGCACGAACTACTGCACCCAGCCCCAATTGCTTTCTAATATACCAGCAATGAACAACTGGAATTTAAAATTAAAAACATGATACCTTTTACATTAGCACCAAAAAAAGAAATGAATATTTAGGTGTAAATCTATGCCTAAAATATGTAAAAGATCTGTGTGAGGAAAACTATAACTCTGATGAAAGAAATCAAAGAAGACCTAATTAAATGGAGAGATGTACCACGTACATGGGCAGGAAGACTCAATATCATCAAGGTATCAGTTCTTCCCAACTTGATCTATAGATTCAGTGCAATCCCAATAAAAATTCTAGCAAGTAATTTTGTGGACATGGACAACTGGTTCTAAAGTTTATATGAAAAGCAAAAGGCCAAGAATAACCAGCATAATATTGAAGAAGAACAAAATCAGAGGACTGACACTACCTGACTCGACCTACTGTAAATCTGTGGTAATTAAGACAACATAGGGACAGGCATGGTGACTCACACCTGCAATCCTAGCACCCTGGGAGGCTGAGGTGGAAGGATTGCTTGAGGCCAGGAGTTCAAGACCAGCCTTAGCAAAAGCAAGATCCTGTCTCTATAAAAAATAGAAAAATTGGCTAGATGTGGTGGCACACACCTATAGTCCTAGCTGCTTGGGAGGCTGAGGCAGGAGGATCACTTGCCTAGGAGTTTGAGATTGCAGTGAGCTATGATGATGTCAGTGCACTCTAGCCTGGGCAACAGAGCAAGACTTCGTCTAAAAAAAAATAATAACATGGTATTGGCAAAAGTAGACAAACAGACCAATGGAACAGAATACAGAATAGAGTCCAAAAATAGACCCACACAAATATAGTCAACTGATTTTGACATAGGAGCAAAGGCAATTCGATGGAGAAAGGGTAATCTTTTCAACAAATGGTGCTGGAACAATTAGACATCCACATCGAAAAAAATCAATCTAGACGTATTTTAGGCCCTCCACAAAAATTAACTCAAATGGATCATAGACCTAAATACAAAATACAAAAGTGTAAAACTCCTGTAAGATAACAGGAGAAATAATATAGGTGACCTTGGATTTGGTGATAAATTTTAGGCACAACACCAAAGGCATAATTCACAAAAGAAAAAATTGATAAGCTGGACTTCATTAAAATTAGAAACTTCTGATCTGTGAAAGACACTAAGAGAATGAAAAGATAAGCCACAGTTTGGGAGAAAATCTTTACAAAAACATATCCGATGAAGAACTGGTATCCAAAATATACAAGAACTCTTAAAACTCAGCAATATAAAAACAACCCAATTTTAAAAATGTGCAAAGATCTGAACACACACACCTCACCAAAGAAGATATACAGACAGGAAATACGCATATGAAAAGATGTTCAACATCATCTCATCAGAGAATTGCAAATTAAAACAACAACAGGATAAGTATAAAATACAACAATAAGGTAAATAACTACATACATATTAGAATGGCTAAAATCCCAAACACTACAACACCAAATGCCGGCAAGGATGTGGAGCAACTGTAACTCTCATTCATTGCTGGCAAGAATGCAAA